GTAGTAGTAATGGCAATAGTGGTTTAGTAGTAGTAATGGCAATAGTGGTAGTAGGTAGTATGGCAATAGGGGTTTGTAGTGGGTTAAATGGCAATAGTGGTAGTATGTAGTAAGGGCAATAGTGGTAGTAGTAGTAGTAAGGGCAATGTGGTAGTGTAGTAGTAAGGGCAATAGGGGGTTAGTAGTAGTATTGGCAATAGTGGTAATAGGGGTAGTAGTATATGGCAATTGTGGTAGTGTAGTATGGCAATAGGGGTTTGTAGTAGTAGTAATGGCAATAGTGGTAGTAGTAGAAAGTAGTAATGGCAATAGTGGTAGTAGTAGAGTAATGGCATTAGTGGTGTAGTAGTAATGGCAATGTGGTTAGTAGTAGTAGTAAGGAAATTAGTGGTTTAGTAGTAGTAATGGCAATAGGGGTTTTAGTACTTTTATTTAGTAATGGCAATGTGGTAGTAGTGTAATGGCAATAGTGGTAGTAGTATATGGCAATAGTTGGTATTTTAAGTAGTAGTAATGGCAATAGTGGTTGTAGTAGTGTAATGGCAATAGTGGTATTTAGTAGAGTAATGGCAAAATAGTGGGGTAGTAAGTAGTAATGGCAATAGTGGTAGTTATTTAGTAATGGCATAGTGGTAGTAGAAAGTAATGGCAATAGTGGTAGCAGTAGTAATGGCAATAGTGGTAGCAGTAGTATTGGCAATAGTGGTAGTAGTAGTAATGGCAATAGTGGTAGTAGTAGTAGTAATGGCAATAGTGGTTTAGTATTTAGTAATGGCAATAGTAGTAATGGCCAATAGTGGTAGCAGTAGTAATGGCAATAGTGGTAGTAGTAGTATGGCAATAGTGGTAGTAGTAGTAATGGCAATAGTGGTAGTAGTAGTAATGGCAATAGTGGTAGTAGTAGTAATGGCAATAGTGGTAGTAGTAGTAATGGCAATAGTGGTAGTAGTAGTAGTAATGGCAATAGTGGTAGTAGTAGTAGTAATGGCAATAGTGGTAGTAGTAGTAATGGCAATGGTGGTATTTAGGTAAAGTAATGGCAATAGTGGTAGTAGTAGTAATGACAATAGTGGTAGTAGTAGTAGTAATGGCAATAGTGGTAGTAGTAGTAATGGCAATAGTGGTAGTAGTAGTAATGGCAATAGTGGTAGTATTTAAATTTGGCAATAGTGGTTAGTAGTAGAATGGAATTGAGTTGGTAGTGGTAGTATTTGTAATGGCAATGTGGTAGTAGTAGTAATGGCAAATAGTGGGTGTATAGTAATGGCATATGGTAGTGGTAGAAATAGTTAGTATTTTAATGGCAATAGTGGTATAGTATTTAATGGAAATAGTGGTAAGTAGTAGTAGTAATGGCAATAGTGGTAGTAGTAGTAATGGCAATAGTGGTAGTAGTAGTAGTAATGGCAATAGTGGTAGTAGTAGTAATGGCAATAGTGGTAGTAGTAGTAATGGAAATTTGTGGTGCGGGTTTCAGTATAGTAATGGCAATAGTGGTGTAGTAGTAGTAGTAATGGCAATAGTGGTGGTAGTAGTAATGGCAATAGTGGTAGTAGTAGTAATGGCAATAGTGGTAGTAGTAGTAGTAGTAATGGCAATAGTGGTAGTAGTATTAGTAATGGCAATAGTGGGTAGTAGTAATGGAAATGGTAGTAGTAGTAGTAGTAATTGGCAATAGTGGATTGTAGTATTTAGTAATGGAAATAGTGGTAGTAGTAGTAGTAGTAATGGCAATAGTGGTAGTAGTAGTAATGGCAATAGTGGTAGTAGTAGTAATGGCAATAGTGGTAGTGTAGGTAGGTAGTAATGGCAATGGTGGGTAGTAGTAGTGTTGAATAGTAATGGCAATAGTGGTGGTAGTAGTAATGGCAATAGTTAGGTAGTAGTAGTATTTATAGTAATGGCAATGGGTGGTAGTAGAAATAGTTAATGGCAATAGTGTGATGGTGTGTAATGGCAATAGTGGTATTTAGTAGTAGTAATGGCAATATTGGTAGTAGTAGTTAATGGCAATAGTGGTAGTAGTAGTAGTAGTAATGGAAATTAGTGGTAGTAGTTAATAGTAATGGAAATAGTGGTAGTAGTAGTAATGGCAATAGTGGTAGTATTTAGTAGTAGTAATGGCAATAGTGGTAAAAAGAAAGGTAGTAGGGGTAGTAAATGGCAATAGTGGTAGTTAGTAGTATTTGTAATGGCAGGGGGTAGTAGTGTAGTAGTAATGGCAATAGTGGGTAGTGTAGTAGTAGTAATGGAAAAGTGGTATTTAGTGTAGTATAGTAATGGCAATAGTGGTAGTAGTTAAGTAGTAGTAATGGCAATAGTGGTAGTAGTATTAGTAAGGGGCAATAGTGGTATTTAGTAGTAGTAGTAATGGCAAAAGTGCCGGTAAGTAGAAAGGAATAGTGTAGTAAGTGATTGGCAATAGTGGTTGTATTAGTATTTAGTAATGGCAATAGTGGTAGTAGTATTTAGTAGTAATGGCAATAGTGGTAGTAGTAGTAGTAGTAATGGCAATAGTGGTAGTAGTAGTAGTAGTAATGGCAATAGTGGTAGTAGTAGTAGTAGTAATGGCAATAGTGGTAGTAGTAGTAGTAGTAATGGCAATAGTGGTAGTAGTAAATAAATAACAAAAAGGCACAATACCGTGACTGGAACGATACACAAATAACCCGCACATAAAAGACAGAAGCTTACGACGACGTTTCGGTCCGACTTGGACCGGGTTATTTGAGTGGTAGTAGTAGTAGTAATGGCAATAGTGGTAGTAGTAGGATAGTATTATTATAATCAAAAAGAAGCGCTAAGCCACAAGGGCTATACAGCGCTAAGTAGGATAGTAGAAATAATAGTAATGGTAGTAGTATTATTTCTAGCATTTCGTTCGACTTAGATTTATATATTATTTGGCTTCGAAGTGCCAAAGTTATTCTCTTTTGCTAGGCCTAAAATCTAACTTTCCCAGCTCCTATACAAACTCTTGCTAGTATAGGTCTATAATTTCGACCGTATTAATTTTTTACCAATTTCTGGAGTTTATAACATGTTAATTAACACGAATAATCTGTAATGGTTATAATAGTATGCATAATTATTAAAGTGGTGGAGGGGTAAGCCAGTGGAAGGCCTCGGTCAGATGACCAAAAGCTCCAGCTGTGAGTCATCATATGACTAAGACCCGCGTCAGAAAATACTTTTCCTGTTTCCTGACAAATCTCACCCAGCCAAATTAACATTACATAAGTGTCAGGGGCCCAAGACTGTTCAACTGTCTCCCAGCATACATCAGAGGGATTACCAATAGACCCCTGGATGTCTTCAAGCAAACATTGGACAAGTACCTAAAGTCGGTGCCTGACCAGCCGGGCTGTGGCTCTTATGTTGGATTACGTGCAGCCAGGAGTAACAGCCTGGTTTATCAGACCCTGATCCACCATGAGGCCTGGTCATAGACCGGGCCGCGGGATCGTTGACCCCCGGAATTCTCTCCAGGTAACGTGATATTTCAGGTTGTGACCTCAAAATCAAAAAGATAATTTACTGAGGTATGATTGCTTGTGTATATATGGTCCCAAATCTGCACACAGAAATCACTCCCTACGAAAGTAAAAGACTGGGCAGGCGATGCAAAATGCCCCCAATTAAAAGTCGGGGCGCCATTGGTACACTAAGGGAAAAAATCATAAGTGTCCGGGGTCCAAGACTGTTCAACAGCCTCCCATCAAGCATTTAGGGGAATTGCCAATAAGCCCTTGGCTGCCTTCAAGAGAGAGCTGGACAGATACCTAAAGTCAGTGCCGGACCAGCCGGGCTATGGCTCGTACGTTGGACTACGCGCGGCCAGCAGTAACAGCCTGGCTGATCAGGCCCGGATCCATCGGGAGGCCTGGTCATGGACCGGGCCGCGGGGGCGTTGACCCCCGGAATAACCTCCAGGTAACCAGGTATACACACAGAGAGCTTACTCTAATTCCCTTTGAAGGAATTAATTATTCGTGTCTGGCGGCTAACAGGTTACGTGCAGCCTTAGTGTCCCTCGTGTAATATATAAACCCCAAACCCCATTAAACAAAGTCAAATTATACAAAGGTTCTCTTATATGATTCACGAACATCAGACCTTGAAACACGTGTGTTTCAAGGTTCGAAGGTTACGTTAGGTTCGTCAGGAAACAGGACAAGTGTTTCCTGACGCGGGTCTTAGTCATATGACGACCCACAGCTGGAGCTTTTGGTCATCTGACTGAGGCCTTATACCTGAAAAGGGTTCCGGAGGTCAACGCCCCTGCGACGCGGTCTGTGACCGGACCAGTTATCACCATTTTCCTTAGGGTCTGAAAATTCTTTCCGACTCTTCTTTCTCAGTGACAAAGATGAGAGTTGCCTAACACTGAGGATAAAAGTCGTATAACACCCTTACCTCTGCTCATCCACATAATTATGATGGTACAAAACATTCCTAAAGTCTCCATCTATATCTTAAACATAAAGCCTTGACTTGGCCGGTTGACGACTTGATGTCTGATTAAACTCACGCCTGAGACAACAACAATCATGACAAACGAGACCGGGGAGTTTTATAGCACAGAAACCTGTTGGGGAATAATCCAGTGGAATTGCACGGGAAATTCAGCTTTCAGTCTCGATAATCAGTACCTCTTGCAACTAAATATTGCAACTCTTGCAACTACACCATTCATTCTCCCGACTGTTTCTGGCACTGGCGGTTTTTTGTACTTCATAAGCCATCTTATTTCGGGCGATACAGTCACTGTCACACAAATTTCGATTTGTAGTGTTTAAAAATATATTGACTACACTAGGGTCATTAAGGCTACCTGGAGGGTATTCCGGGGATCAACGCCCCAGCGACCCGGTCCACGACCAGGCCGCGACCCGGTTCACGACCAGAAGATAAGAATACCTTTATTCCTAACATACTGATGTTATTTAGTATCCAATATTGATGTTTAATGTATCTCAGTCCCATCACTTTCACCGTAGGTACAAAAACGATGAAATTCGACGGGGTTGCTTCTTAGCGTGGCCAGACGGCGACACCAGCACCTCATACATGGAGTATGTGTGAGTATACACATTATACATGGAGTATGTGTAAGTATATGATACGTATGAATATTCACGAAGGAAAATATATAAGTATACCATACGTTTGGCAAAAGTAACTAAGAGAAATGATTGTAAGTCCTTTAATAATAACTAGAATAAATGAACAGATAGATGATAGAATTTAATAAATATAAATGCTATGTAGGAGAAATGGGAGAGTAAAATCAGAGAGGAGAGAGAGAGAGAGAGAGAGAGAGAGAGAGAGAGAGAGAGAGAGAGATTGTGTACATTAGATGTACTGTGGACGATCAGGTAGCCATTAGTGTTTCAAAACCATGACAACTCTCGAGTTGTACTTTGATTGTAATTTGTGTATTGCAGGTACAACACTGTGTTCTTCAGCAGCACATATATCCTGCCTATGTGCGTCATGTTAGTGAGTTACTCGCTCATTGGATGTGAACTCTGGGGAAGCAGGTCAATCGGCGAGCCTACTGACAGACAAGCCACCTCCATTAAGTCAAAAAAACGAGTTAGATAATTTTTTTTAAAAGTTATACCTGAACTGTGTGTATGTAGATTTTTGTTTGGTTATTGGGTTTGAAGTCTATCTGCTACACGAGGGTAGTTTAGGCTGCATGTTAAGGATTCTTTAATACCTAAATCTGGACTTTAGGTTAAGTCTCAGTGCACATATACCACTTAACGTACTTGAAGACAGCCAGGGGTCTATTGGTAATCCCCCTTATGTATGCTGAGAGGCTGTTGAACAGTCTTGGGCCCCTGACACTTATTGTGTTGTCTTAGTGCACTCTTGGCGCCCCTGCGCCAGGTGTATATATCTTAAGTATATATACAAGTTGAGAGACAGATTTCGGTATATATGCACAGAGATACAAATTTTTTTCAGTGTATATATTCTATGGATTTTCTTGTTCAGTACTGAAGATACCTTTACTTATTAGGGTTTAAATTCTATCGACTACACGATGATTATAAATCTGCATGTCACATCTCCACTACCAGTCAAGAATACTTTAATACTAAAAACAGATTCAACTCTGTGTATATAGACATACATCCCTCGATGTATATAACTACTCATATATTTAAATAACTTGTCAACCTCATAACTGAATGTATGACCGTATGTATGACCGTATGTATGACCGTATGTATGACCGTATGTCTGACCGTATGTATGACCGTATGTCTGACCGTATGTCTGACCGTATGTCTGACCGTATGTCTGACCGTATGTATGACCGTATGTATGACCGTATGTATGACCGTATGTATGACCGTATGTATGACCGTATGTATGACCGTATGTATGACCGTATGTATGACCGTATGTATGACCGTATGTCTGACCGTATGTATGACCGTATGTATGACCGTATTTATGACCGTATGTCTGACCGTATGTATGACCGTATGTATGACCGTATGGATGACGCTGTATGATCAACATTAATATGCCACATGCTTGACACAGTGTCTCAGTAATAATGGAAAACATAATGAACAGATAATGACTCACTATATCTATCTTCTATGAATAAAATACTTCCCCATCTTTATTATTCATTGCTTTTCTCCTACGCCATTTTATCTGCCCTTTATTTTGTCTTTCCTGGCAACGACGGCCGTTCCAGAGGCCCAAAATTTCACTTGTTTATGGTTCGGTTATCATACATCTATTGTTGGTTCGTTTCCTTCAATAGTTAATGTTTAATGAACTGCTTCTGTTGTTTCCAGATTCCTAGTATATACCGAGTTGAAGGCAATGGAAATTGTAAGATAGATAGGAGAGGGAGTAGCTGGGTGTTAAGACGTGTCCAGCATGGACAGCAGGTCTACTGTAGTGTAAGACCTACCTAGCATGGACAGCAGGTCTACTGTAGTGTAAGACCTACCTAGCATGGACAGCAGGTCTACTGTAGTGTAAGACCTACCTAGCATGGACAGCAGGTCTACTGTAGTGTAAGACCTACCTAGCATGGACAGCAGGTCTACTGTAGTGTAAGACCTACCTAGCATGGACAGCAGGTCTACTGTAGTGTAAGACCTACCTAGCATGGACAGCATGTCTACTGTAGTGTAAGACCTACCTAGCATGGACAGCAGGTCTACTGTAGTGTAAGACCTACCTAGCATGGACAGCATGTCTACTGTAGTGTAAGACCTACCTAGCATGGACAGCAGGTCTACTGTAGTGTAAGACCTACCTAGCATGGACAGCAGGTCTACTGTAGTGTAAGACCTACCTAGCATGGACAGCAGGTCTACCGCAGTGTAAGACCTACCTAGCATGGACAGCAGGTCTACTGTAGTGTAAGACCTACCTAGCATGGACAGCAGGTCTACCACAGTGTAAGACCTAGCATAGGCTACAGGCCGCGTTCATTATAAGACCTGCCTAGCCTGGACTAATAGGCTGCTACATTACGCACGCCATCAGAATCACCACTACAAGAGCAATACCGTGATTTAATCCCCACGGGTTTCAGTAAATTCCCAGTGTGAAATATTAACCAGAAACAGGGTTGTTTTAAAGCTGCGCTCAGAGGTCAGAGGTCAGAGGTCATCATGTGACAAACAGCTTTTCCGCTACGCTTCAGCCTGTCTTCAGAATAACGTTTAATTCTTTCATTAATAATCCTGCCATCCCCCCTCCCCCATGTCACCTGGTATACTCAACACGACTATTATTCTCCCTGTTTTTTGACTTTCTTGTCGCCCTGTTCTCTTACACAAGGGACGTATATGCTTTATACCACTCCTTAGTTATCTTCATATACACACACACACACACATATATATATATATATATATATATATATATATATATATATATATATATATATAAATATATATATATATATATATATATATATATATATATATAGGTAGTAGGTTGGTAGACAGCAACCACCCAGGGAAGTACTACCGTCCTGCCAGATGACTGCGAAACAGAAACCTGTAACTGTACACAAATAACCCGCACATAAAAGAGAGAAGCTTACGACGACGTTTCGGTCCGACTTGGACCATTGACAAAGTCACACTAACAGAGGTGGAGCAGGACGGCTATATATAGGCAGGAAGAGGTGGTGGTGGTGGTGGTAGTAGTAGTAGTAGTAGTAGTACAAGAATTGTATATAATACCGACAGGATGAAATGACACATGCACAACACCCGGGCATCCCCAAGTCGGACCGAAACGTCGTCGTAAGCTTCTCTCTTTTATGTGCGGGTTATTTGTGTATCGTTCCAGTCACGGTATTGTGCCTTTTGTTATTTACCTGTAACTTTTGCATGATGGTAGGATTGCTGGTTTCTTTTTCTGTCTCATAAACACGCTAGATAACAGGGATATCTTGCTACTCCTACTTACACTTTGGTCACACTTCACACACACGCACATGCATATATATATACATACATCTAGGTTTTTCTCCTTTTTCTAAATAGCTCTTGTTCCTCTTTATTTCTTCTATTGTCCATGGGGAAGTGGAAAAGAATCTTTCCTCCGTAAGCCATGCGTGTCGTATGAGGCGACTAAAATGCCGGGAGCAATGGGCTAGTAACCCCTTCTCCTGTAGACATTTACTAAAAAAGAGAAAAAGAAAAACTTTATAAAACTGGGATGCTTAAATGTGCGTAGATGTAGTGCGGATGACAAGAAACAGATGATTGCTGATGTTATGAATGAAAAGAAGTTGGATGTCCTGGCCCTAAGCGAAACAAAGCTGAAGGGGGTAGGGGAGTTTCGGTGGGGGGGAAATAAATGGGATTAAATCTGGAGTATCTGAGAGAGTTAGAGCAAAGGAAGGAATAGCAGTAATGTTGAATGATCAGTTATGGAAGGAGAAAAGAGAATATGAATGTGTAAATTCAAGAATTATGTGGATTAAAGTAAAGGTTGGATGCGAGAAGTGGGTCATAATAAGCGTGTATGCACCTGGAGAAGAGAGGAATGCAGAGGAGAGAGAGAGATTTTGGGAGATGTTAAGTGAATGTATAGGAGCCTTTGAACCAAGTGAGAGAGTAATTGTGGTAGGGGACCTGAATGCTAAAGTAGGAGAAACTTTTAGAGAGGGTGTGGTAGGTAAGTTTGGGGTGCCAGGTGTAAATGATAATGGGAGCCCTTTGACTGAACTTTGTATAGAAAGGGGTTTAGTTATAGGTAATACATATTTAAGAAAAAGAGGATAAATAAGTATACAGATATGATGTAGGGCGAAATGACAGTAGTTTGTTGGATTATGTATTGGTAGATAAAAGACTGTTGAGTAGACTTCAGGATGTACATGTTTATAGAGGGGCCACATATATATCAGATCACTTTCTAGTTGTAGCTACACTGAGAGTAAAAGGTAGATGGGATACAAGGAGAATAGAAGCATCAGGAAGAGAGAGGTGAAGGTTTATAAACTAAAAGAGAGGCAGTTAGGGTAAGATATAAACAGCTATTGGAGGATAGATGGGCTAATGAGAGCATAGGCAATGGGGTCGAAGAGGTATGGGGTAGGTTTAAAAATGTAGTGTTAGAGTGTTCAGCAGAAGTTTGTGGTTACAGGAAAGTGGGTGCTGGAGGGAAGAGGAGCGATTGGTGGAATGATGATGTGAAGAGAGTAGTAAGGGAGAAAAAGTTAGCATATGAGAAGTTTTTACAAAGTAGAAGTGATGCAAGGAGGGAAGAGTATAGGAGAAAAAGAGAGAGGTTAAGAGAGTGGTGAAACAATGTAAAAAGAGAGCAAATGAGAGTGGGTGAGATGTTATCAACAAATTTTGTTGAAAATAAGAAAAAGTTTTGGAGTGAGATTAACAAGTTAAAAAGCCTAGAGAACAAATGAATTTGTCAGTTAAAAATAGGAGAGGAGAGTTATTAAATGGAGAGTTAGAGGTATTGGGAAGATGGAGGGAATATTTGAGGAATTGTTAAATGTTGATGAAGATAGGGAAGCTGTGATTTCGTGTATAGGGCAAGGAGGAACAACATCTGTAGGAGTGAGGAAGAGCCAGTTGTGAGTGTGGGGGAAGTTCGTGAGGCAGTAGGTAAAATGAAAGGGGGTAAGGCAGCCGGGATTGATGGGATAAAGATAGAAATGTTAAAAGTAGGTGGGGATATAGTTTTGGAGTGGTTGGTGCAATTATTTAATAAATGTATGGAAGAGGGTAAGGTACCTAGGGATTGGCAGAGAGCATGCATAGTTCCTTTGTATAAAGGCAAAGGGGATAAAAGAGAGTGCAAAAATTATAGGGGGATAAGTCTGTTGAGTATACCTGGCAAAGTGTATGGTAGAGTTATTATTGAAAGAATTAAGAGTAAGACGGAGAATAGGATAGCAGATGAACAAGGAGGCTTTAGGAAAGGTAGGGGGTGTGTGGACCAGGTGTTTACAGTGAAACATATAAGTGAACAGTATTTAGATAAGGCTAAAGAGGTCTTTGTGGCATTTATGGATTTGGAAAAGGCGTATGACAGGGTGGATAGGGGGGCAATGTGGCAGATGTTGCAGGTGTATGGTGTAGGAGGTAGGTTACTGAAAGCAGTGAAGAGTTTTTACGAGGACAGTGAGGCTCAAGTTAGAGTATGTAGGAAAGAGGGAAATTATTTCCCAGTAAAAGTAGGCCTTAGACAAGGATGTGTGATGTCACCGTGGTTGTTTAATAAAGAATCACACATAAAGTGGGAGTTGTCACAGTTGCTCTTTGCTGATGACACTGTGCTCTTGGGAGATTCTGAAGAGAAGTTGCAGAGATTGGTGGATGAATTTAGTAGGGTGTGCAAAAGAAGAAAATTGAAAGTGAATACAGGAAAGAGTAAGGTTATGAGGATAACAAAAATATTAGGTGATGAAAGATTGGATATCAGATTGGAGGGAGAGAGTATGGAGGAGGTGAATGTATTCAGATATTTGGGAGTGGACGTGTCAGCGGATGGGTCTATGAAAGATGAGGTGAATCATAGAATTGATGAGGGGAAAAGGTGAGTGGTGCACTTAGGAGTCTGTGGAGACAAAGAACTTTGTCCTTGGAGGCAAGAGGGGAATGTATGAGAGTATAGTTTTACCAACGCTCTTATATGGGTGTGAAGCATGGGTGATGAATGTTGCAGCGAGGAGAAGGCTGGAGGCAGTGGAGATGTCATGTCTGAGAGCAATGTGTAGTGTGAATATAATGCAGAGAATTCGTAGTTTGGAAGTTAGGAGGAGGTGCGGGATTACCAAAACTGTTGTCCAGAGGGCTGAGGAAGGGTTGTTGAGGTGGTTCGGACATGTAGAGAGAAACAGAATGACTTCAAGAGTGTATCAGTCTGTAGTGGAAGGAAGGGGTAGGGTCGGCCTAGGAAAAGGTTGGAGGGAGGGGGTAAAGGAGGTTTTGTGTGCGAGGGGCTTGGACTTCCAGCAGGCATGCGTGAGCGTGTTTGATAGGAGTGAATGGAGACAAATGGTTTTTAATACTTGACGTGCTGTTGGAGTGTGAGCAAAGTAACATTTATGAAGGGGTTCAGGGAAACCGGCAGGCCGGACTTGAGTCCTGGAGATGGGAAGTACAGTGTCTGCACTCTGAAGGAGGGGTGTTAATGTTGCAGTTTAAAAACTGTAGTGTAAAGCACCCTTCTGGCAAGACAGTGATGGAGTGAATGATGGTGAAGTTTTTCTTTTTCGGGCCACCCTGCCTTGGTGGGAATCGGCCAGTGTGATAATAATAATAATAATAATAAATATATATATATATATATATATATATATATATTATATTATATATATAAATATATATATATATTATAATATATATATATATGCGTCTCCCACCGAGGCAGGGTGACCCAAAAAGAAAGAAAATCCCCAAAAAAGAAAATACTTTCATCATTCAACACTCACACATTATCACTGTCTTTGCAGAAGCGCCCAGATACAACAGTTTAGAAGCATATACGTATAAAGATACACAACATATCCCTCCAAACTGCCAATATCCCAAACCCCTCCTTTAAAGTGCAGGCATTGTACTTCACATTTCCAGGACTCAAGTCCGGCTATATAAAAATAACCGGTTTCCCTGAATTCCTTCACTAAATATTACCCTGCTCAAACTCCAACAGCTCGTCAGGTCCCAAAAACCATTCGCCTCCATTCACTCCTAACACACTCACGCATGCTTGCTGGAAGTCCAAGCTCCTCGCCCACAAAACCTCCTTTACCCCCTCCCTCCAACCTTTACGAGGACGACCCCTACCCCGCCTTCCTTCCCCTAAAGATTTATACACTCTCCATGTCATTCTACTTTGATCCATTCTCTCTAAATGACCAAACCACTTCAACAACCCCTCTTCTGCCCTCTGACTAATACTTTTATTAACTCCACACCTTCTCCTAATTTCCAAACTCCGAATTTTCTGCATAATATTTACATAACACATTGCCCTTAGACAGGACATCTCCACTGCTTCCTCGCTGCTGCATTTACCACCCAAGCTTCACATCCATATAAGAGTGTTGGTACTACTATATTTTCATACATTCCCTTCTTTGCCTCCATAGATAATGTTTTTTGCCTCCACATATACCTCAACGCACCACTTACCTTTTTTCCCTCATCAGTTCTATAATTAACCTCATCCTTCATAAATCCATCCGCCGACACGTCAACTCCCAAGTATCTGAAAACATTCACTTCTTCCATACTCCTCCTCCCCAATTTGATATCCAATTTTTCTTTAAGTAATTTGATACCCTCATCACCTTACTCTTTTCTATGTTCACTTTCTACGTTTACACACACTCCCAAACTCATCCACTAACCTTTGGATCTTTTCTTTAGAATCTCCCATAAGCACAGTATCATCAGCAAAAAGCAACTGTGTCAATTCCCATTTTGAATTTGATTCCCCATAATTTAATCCCACCCCTCTCCCGAACACCCTAGCATTTACTTCTTTTACAACCCCATCTATAAATATATTAAACAACCATGGTGACATTACACATCCCTGTCTAAGACCTACTTTTACCGGGAAGTATTCTCCTCCTTCTACACGCCCTAACCTGAGCCTCACTATCCTTATATATATATAAATATATATATATAATATATATATATATATATATAATATATATATAATAATATAATTTCAACACACCGGCCGTATCCCACCAAGGCAGGGTGGCCCAAAAAGAAAAACGAAAGTTTCTCTTAAATTTGTAATTTATACGGGAGAAGGGGTTACTAGCCCTAATAAGAAAGAATAATGAAATTCCAAGCGCTTTCGTGACTTCTCACACTATCTAGGAACAATTGTTTCTTGATAATGTAAGCAGTCACGAAAGCGCTTGGAATTTCATTTTTCTTTCACAGTGGTTGCTTTGCATGTGTGTGTGTGTGTGTGTATGCGAGAGAGAGAGAGAGAGAGAGAGAGAGAGAGAGAGAGAGAGAGAGAGAGAGAAAATGTGGAATCCCTCAGGTGTTCTTCCTATTTTCGTTGTGGCATTTTCGATATTTGTAAATCTTGCGTTTATTGTAACTTCTCCCACGTATGTATGTTGCATTCAAAGAATTCTCTGCTACCAGTATGTATATCCCTACTTGACGACTTTTGTTAGTGTCTCTCATTGTTACATTCATTACGCAGGTGGTGCGCATGTTGATGGTAATTGTTACCATCTTCATGTTGTGCTGGCTGCCACAGCAAGGTTTCTTCCTCTACCAGTACCACAACAGACACGTCCTGGATACTGAAAACATTCAACATATCTACTTAGGCTTCTACTGGTTGGCTATGGCAAACGCCATGGTTAACCCTATGATATATTACTGGATGAATACCAGGTTAGAATCATGGAAAGTTCTCCAAAATGAATTATGAATTTTCTTAAATATTAGGTGAATTATAATAATGTATTTCTACAAGGTATACAGACCATAGCTGACATCAATGATATACCGCTATATAGAGTCCCTTGTTATGCTGAGCATTTCCCCGCAAATTAGGTCAGTTTTGTTCCCAGGATACGACCCACACCAGTCCACTAACACCCAGGTACCTATTTTATTGCTAGGTGAACATGGACAGCAGGTGTCTTAAGGAAAAATGTCCTAATATTTCCACTCGTACAAGGGGATCGACCCCCGGACCCTAGTGTGTGAGCTGAATCATAACCATATTTTTTTAAAGGGGTGGACTGGTAAGCCAGTGGAAGGAATTAATCAATACATCTCAATGTTGCAGTTTAAAAACTGTAGTGTAAAGCACCCTTCTGGCAAGACAGTGATGGAGTGAATGATGGTGAAAGTTTTTCTTTTTCGGGCCACCCTGCCTTGGTGGGAATCGGCCAGTGTGATAATAAAATAAAAAATCTCAAAATTATGTCTTTGTCGGAAACCATAACTGGAATAATTCACAGTCACCCATTTTGTGAATATTTGTGTACACTGTGTAGTCTAGTGGGTACAGTATTGAGCTTGTGTGTGTAAACATGATTGGCAAATCCTTTCCAGAACTTAAGATAATCATTATTTGATTGACTTCAAGTTCTATCGGCAGGTTCCGCACTTACTTCCGTGAGGTGGTGCTGCAGTGCTGTCCGGGACGGTGGAGGTGCTGGAACCATTTCTGTTTATCCAGGAAAAACAGATTTCTTGATTCACCTCAACTCCAGAGCAGACAGGACAGTGCTGAGCACACATCACGCACCAGGTCAGGTCAGTAAGCAACGTCAACACACAAACAACTGTATTAAACTAAACTTATTCCAGAAAATAATGGCGTTTGATCCTGATGGAGGATTGAGCCGTACCAAGGATGATTTAAATATATAGAGTACGTCTCTCCAAAGGAGCCTTAACGAGTACCTCATGACAACACTAGTAAGCAGAAACTACGAAAATGCACAATAGATTTCTTCTAGGCCGACAACATGACTCACGAAATCGTAATGACACGATTGCAAACAAACCATACCCCGGCCGGGATTGAACCCGCGGTCAGAGAGTCTCAAAACTCCAGACCGTCGCGTTAGCCACGGTCTGGAGTTTCGAGACTCTCTGACCGTGGATTCAATCCCGGCCGGGGTATGGTTTCTTCTAGGCCTATATGTCACCTAGGCCTTTTCTGGCCTATAGAAGCAAGGTAGATATACTGACGAAGGATATCAATGAAAATGTTTCGCTCATGCTAGAGACCATCTTCAATTCCTCTCTCTCCTTTAGATGGGCGTGTGAATACCAACGTAGTACCTAGAAGCACGGCTGGTCATCACGATAACCTCTTCACGTACTCGAAAAAGAGTTTTAGATGTAGCCATAAGGGTGAGTACATTCTGTGTAGTAGTAGTAGTAGTAGTTAGTGGTAGTAATAGTAGTAGTAAAATGTTTCTAGACAGTTTGAAAAATAATATTTGTGAATTGTGTTTCTGGCAGGTCCTGTGCGTGACGAGCAGAGTGACCAGACAGTGGAGTACCCGAAGCATCCCTTCACATCAAGACCCAAATACAGGACACGAGAGACCTGTAGTCTTGTGCCTGTGAGATACAAGGATTTATCTCAGGGCTATCGTGTGCCTGGGGGAGACGAGGACTTGCCCCAGGGCTATACTAAGCCTGGGGTAGACAAGGAGTTACCTCAGGGGTATCTTGTGCCTGGGGGAAACAAGGAGTTACCCCAAGGCTATACTGATTCTGGGGAAAACAAGGATTTACCCCAGGTCCAGTATCTCTCCCATCCGAGTACAATCAGCATCAACATCCATCAAACATCAACCATAAACCCCCACATGAATGGAGTGAACAGAATCATTAGCCAACCGGCCACAGAAGAATCGACAGACGAGGTAATCAGAGAGCATGGAAGGACCAAGGAGAAGCAAATAGATGTTGATTCTCCTGTCCAACCAGTCTCGAGATTACCAGCATCATCCATGAAATCTAAACCTTGTATGGCTTACATTCTGCATCCCGTTGCTTGTAGAAACGAACCAGCATCACCTCGTCTGTGTAGCCAGTTAATACACAGCTCCACAAACAATACAATAGCGAAAATCGACAAACTAGAGGAAAACAGTGTGGAAAGAGATCGCAAACTAGCTGTGTCAAATTTTGCAACTGACGAAGATGCAACTATAGTCGATCCCAGCAGGAGAGTCACTAAGCAACGCTTCGGTGATACTGACGTGGCAGTGAACAAGTTAGAAACGAAGCAAGCTGAGAGAGTGAAATTACACACCGTTCAACAAGCAATTGCAGACACAATAAACTCTGCATTGCAAGACTTCAACACCAGTCACCACTGTGACTTACACGTGACTGAAGGGGCTTTAGACACGCACATCAGTCTGAATGCCTCCAAAGAGATAATGTTGTGATGTTAAATAATTTCAAACGTAATTTTAAACCTTAAACTTAACGTTAAACTGCGTAAATTTGACGTTTAATAAAATGTTAAAAAAAAATCATTATTTTTATCATTTATTATATTCATAACGAAAAGCTAAACCCGTAGGGGTCTGGAGAATGAAGGTAATCAGGTTTGATCCGTGAAAAGGGAGAGTACCTTCACCATCTTTGTTTCTAGTATGGTTCTTGGCTTCTTCCTCAGGATGCCACTCACACCAGTCAACTAAGCATTCAGGTACCTACTTACTGCTAGGTGAATAGTGATAGCAGGTATAAGGTGAAGAACACCCAGGTACCTACTTACTGCTAGGTGAATAGTGATAGGTATAAGGTGAAGAACACCCAGGTACCTACTTACTGCTAGGTGAATAGTGATAGCAGGTATAAGGTGAAGAACACCCAGGTACCTACTTACTGCTAGGTGAATAGTGATAGCAGGTATAAGGTGAAGAACACCCAGTACCTACTTACTGCTAGGTGAATAGTGATAGCAGGTATAAGGTGAAGAACACCCAGGTACCTACTTACTGCTAGGTGAATAGTGATAGCAGGTATAAGGTGAAGAACACCCAGGTACCTACTTACTGCTAAGTGAATAGTGATAGGTATAAGGTGAAGAACACCCAGGTACCTACTTACTGCTAGGTGAATAGTGATAGCAGGTATAAGGTGAAGAACACCCAGGTACCTACTTACTGCTAGGTGAATAGTGATAGCAGGTATAAGGTGAAGAACACCCAGGTACCTACTTACTGCTAGGTGAATAGTGATAGCAGGTATAAGTGAAGAACACCCAGGTACCTACTTACTGCTAGGTGAATAGTGATAGCAGGTATAAGGTGAAGAACACCCAGGTACCTACTTACTGCTAGGTGAATAGTGATAGCAGGTATAAGGTGAAGAACACCCAGGTACCTACTTACTGCTAGGTGAATAGTGATAGCAGGTATAAGGTGAAGAACACCCAGTACCTACTTACTGCTAGGTGAATAGTGATAGCAGGTATAAGGTGAAGAACACCCAGGTACCTACTTACTGCTAGGTGAATAGTGATAGCAGGTATAAGGTGAAGAACACCCAGGTACCTACTTACTGCTAGGTGAATAGTGATAGCAGGTATAAGGTGAAGAACACCCAGTACCTACTTACTGCTAGGTGAATAGTGATAGCAGGTATAAAGGTGAAGAACACCCAGTACCTACTTACTGCTAGGTGAATAGTGATAGCAGGTATAAGGTGAAGAACACCCAGGTACCTACTTACTGCTAGGTGAATAGTGATAGCAGGTATAAGGTGAAGAACACCCAGGTACCTACTACTGCTAGGTAATAGTGATAGCAGGTATAAGGTGAAGAACACCCAGGTACCTACTTACTGCTAGGTGAATAGTGATAGCAGTATAAGGTGAAGAACACCCAGTACCTACTTACTGCTAGGTGAATAGTGATAGCAGTATAAGTGAAGAACACCCAGGTACCTACTTACTGCTAGGTGAATAGTGATAGCAGGTATAAGGTGAAGAACACCCAGGTACCTACTTACTGCTAGGTGAATAGTGATAGCAGGTATAAGGTGAAGAACACCCAGTACCTACTTACTGCTAGGTGAATAGTGATAGCAGGTATAAGGTGAAGAACACCCAGGTACCTACTTACTGCTAGGTGAATAGTGATAGCAGGTATAAGGTGAAGAACACCCAGGTACCTACTTACTGCTAGGCATATCTATGTAATGCAGACATATTTTACCACCGAAGTGACCAGTTTATTGTGCACCTAACATCCATCCTGTGGATGATAGCACAAGACCATATGGATATACAATGGGCCTAGGAACTAGGTCCCAAACTGGTTAACAGGTGTACATCTGGATTTATATCTACAGTTCACTTATCTATTACAAGCAAATTTAGGAAATTTGCTTAATATATCTGGTATTTTATTTTCATTAATAATATATCTTGACATGTCACGTACACAGGATGGGTATGTGGTGCAGATTAAACATATTAAACTAAGTAACTAAACTAACATGTCACATAGGTTATTATACTGGCTGTCTGTATACGTCAATAAGTGGACAATTAAGCAGTGTTGAAGACAGTGACCATAGAGGTTGTGCAACAGTGCTCAAGACAGTGACCACAGAGGTTGTGCAACAGTGCTCAAGACAGTGACCATAGGGGTAGTGCAACAGTGCTCAAGACAGTGATCACAGAGGTAGTGCAACAGTGCTCAAGACAGTGACCACAGAGGTAGTACAACAGTGTTCAAGACAGTGACCACATAGGTAGTACAACAGTGTTCAGGACAGTGACCACATAGGTTGTACAACAGTGTTCAAGACAGTGACCACAGAGGTAGTGCAACAGTGTTCAGGACAGTGACCACAGAGGTAGTACAACAGTGTTCAAGACAGTGACCACAGAGGTAGTACAACAGTGTTCAGGACAGTGACCACAGAGGTAGTACAACAGTGTTCAAGACAGTGACCACAGAGGTAGTACAACAGTGCTCAAGACAGTGACCACAGAGGTAGTACAACAATGTTCAAGACAGTGACCACAGAGGTAGTACAACAGTGTTCAAGACAGTGACCACAGAGGTAGTACAACAGTGTTCAAGACAGTGACCACAGAGGTAGTACAACAATGTTCAAGACAGTGACCACAGAGGTAGTACAACAATGTTCAAGACAGTGACCACAGAGGTAGTACAACAGTGTTCAAGACAGTGATCACAGAGGTAGTACAACAATGTTCAAGACAGTGACCACAGAGGTAGTACAACAGTGTTCAAGACAGTGATCACAGAGGTAGTACAACAATGTTCAAGACAGTGACCACAGAGGTAGTACAACAATGTTCAAGACAGTGACCACATAGGTAGTACAACAGTGTTCAAGACAGTGATCACAGAGGTAGTAACAACAATGTTCAAGACAGTGACCACAGAGGTAGTACAACAGTGTTCAAGACAGTGACCACAGAGGTAGTACAACAATGTTCAAGACAGTGACCATAGGGGTAGTACAACAATGTTCAAGACAGTGACCACAGAGGTAGTACAACAATGTTCAAGACAGTGACCACAGAGGTAGTACAACAGTGTTCAAGACAGTGATCACAGAGGTAGTACAACAATGTTCAAGACAGTGACCACAGAGGTAGTACAACAATGTTCAAGACAGTGACCATAGGGGTAGTACAACAATGATCAAGACAGTGACCATAGAGGTAGTACAACAATGTTCAAGACAGTGACCATAGGGGTAGTGCAACAATGTTCAAGACAGTGACCATAGAGGTAGTACAACAATGTTCAAGACAGTGACCATAGGGGTAGTACAACAATGTTCAAGACAGTGACCACAGGGGTAGTGCAACAATGTTCAAGACAGTGACCATAGGGGTAGTACAACAATGTTCAAGACAGTGACCATAGGGGTAGTACAACAATGTTCAAGACAGTGACCATAGAGGTAGTACAACAATGTTCAAGACAGTGACCATAGGGGTAGTACAACAGTGTTCAAGACAGTGACCATAGGGTAGTACAAACAATGTTCAAGACAGTGACCACAGAGGTAGTACAACAGTGTTCAAGACAGTGACCACAGAGGTAGTACAACAGTGCTCAAGACAGTGACCACAGAGGTAGTACAACAATGTTCAAGACAGTGACCATAGGGGTAGTACAACAATGTTCAAGACAGTGACCACAGAGGTAGTACAACAATGTTCAAGACAGTGACCACAGAGGTAGTACAACAATGTTCAAGACAGTGACCACAGAGGTAGTACAACAATGTTCAGGACAGTGACCACAGAGGTAGTACAACAATGTTCAGGACAGTGACCACAGAGGTAGTACAACAATGTTCAGGACAGTGACCACAGAGGTAGTACAACAATGTTCAGGACAGTGACCACAGAGGTAGTACAACAGTGCTCAAGACAGTGATCACAGAGGTAGTACAACAATGTTCAAGACAGTGACCACAGAGGTAGTACAACAATGTTCAAGACAGTGACCACAGAGGTAGTACAACATGCTCAAGACAGTGACCACAGAGGTAGTACAACATGTTCAAGACAGTGACAATAGGGTAGTGCAACAATGTTCAAGACAGTGACCACAGAGGTAGTACAACAGTGTTCAAGACAGTGACAATAGGGTAGTGCAACAGTGCTCAAGACAGTGACCACATAGTATACAACAGTGTCAAGACAGTGACCACAGAGTAGTACAACAGTGTTCAAGACAGTGACCACATAGGAGTACAACAGTGTTCAAGACAGTGACCACAGAGGTAGTACAACAGTGTTCAAGACAGTGACAATAGGGTAGTGCACAGTGCTCAAGACAGTGACCACATAGGTAGTACAACAGTGTTCAAGACAGTGACCACAGAGATAGTACAACAGTGTTCAAGACAGTGACCACATAGGTAGTACAACAGTGTTCAAGACAGTGACCACAGAGGTAGTACAACAATGTTCAAGACAGTGACCACAGAGGTAGTACAACAGTGCTCAAGACAGTGACAATAGGGGTAGTGCAACAGTGCTCAAGACAGTGACCACATAGGTAGTACAACAGTGCTCAAGACAGTGACCACATAGGTAGTACAACAGTGTTCAAGACAGTGACCACAGAGGTAGTACAACAGTGTTCAAGACAGTGACCACAGAGGTAGTACAACAATGTTCAAGACAGTGACCACAGAGTAGTACAACAGTGCTCAAGACAGTGACCATAGGGGTAGTACAACAGTGTTCAAGACCGTGACCATAGGGGTAGTACAACAGTGTTCAAGACAGTGACCATAGGGGTAGTGCAAGTGTTCAGGACACTAACCATAGGGGTAGTACAACAGTGTTCAAGACAGTGACCATAGAGGTAGTACAACAGTGTTCAAGACAGTGACCATAGGGGTAGTACAACAGTGTTCAAGACAGTGACCATAGGGGTAGTACAACAGTGTTCAAGACAGTGACCATAGG